AGCTTATAGTTTTTAGTTTCATCGTAATGTAGTTGTTTGTAGCATTAATATGTAGAGAATGGAGGTTTAGAGCATTTCCATATGGGCCATTAACATGGTATAATATATACTGAATTCACGCAACTATGGTTCGTGCAACTTTTATAATGTTGTACCAACTCATTTTGCATTATTTTGATCAGCGTAGTTTGAAATTACTAGAGTTTTATATTTTCAATTAACTGCGGTAAAGTTATTCATTCATTTTTCAACTATTTCATTATGTTATCATATTAATTGATTGTAATAACTGATAATTTGACATCATATTRACATACTTTATTTGCACATTGAATAGTTAATAAATAAAATATAATAATATATTCGTTTCCTGATACCGAATTTTGCACTTAACAAAAGTACTACATTTTGATTTTTTATAATGAATTCTCTCATTCTCATTATTTCTGAATAACTCTCGCGTTATTAAGCTGTATCACTAATGCAATTTACGAACGATACAAACGTACAGCTACAAATCTTATCTAAACTCCAAGTTAGAATTGTTCAATTAACTTATAGGTACTGAACAGTCTGATTTTAGCATGAGAGATTTGTCGACCACCATTTTCTTGACCACATCATCACCCATCGGTTATCTCTCAATCTAAACTTTGACCCTTTGTAGAATCATTGAGATATAGTAAAAGGCGGAAACAATGACATCTTCCTGATAACATAGTGTGTTTATGTGCACTAGTTCGAAAGTTCATTATTGTATACATAACAATATTATACAAATTCAAATTTCGTTTCGATTAATATAGATTTTACTTATCTATTTATATGTTTTGATTTGGGTATAAGCTCTTTTGGGGATAACATGTCAACAACTAACTGATTATGTATTCATATTTAAGATAAACCACATAGTCACACATTATATATTGCAAATAATAATTTAATATAGTGTATTTCAGTATTTTAAGTCCTATAAGAAATTTTGAAATCATTTTAAAAACTTTAAACTTGGGGTCATATTTTAAACCTCCATAATTGAGTTACTATTAAACAAACAGTCAATAATTATTATATTGTTGAACGTATTWCTTTATGGTATATGGTTCATTAGTTATTTGCTTTAAAATATTAAAATATATTATATAATAAACAATTAATTTAAATTTCCAAGTGTTTTAATATTAGATTCATTTATTCATATGATCGATAAACACGGGTTTATTTGATAGGTTCAGACGTCACTCGAATATTCTTCACGATATTTCGCCATACATCAGTCGGTACTCGATTCAGAAACTCAGAACCAAAATATATTTAAGGGATACAACAGAATAACATAAAATAATTTAACAGAAGATAAAAAATAAAAAATAAACTGCCCGGGCACAAAATATTTGTTTTCTGAATATTAGAATCGACCACGTCATGTCATATTACAATGTCATGACAAATAGGTACATTGGGCGAAAAACGTTGCGATTGTCAAGCCTAAGCTTGTATATATTATTATGTATGAATATAGAGAGCCCGAGAGGATTTGTGAGGTCTAACCGTATTCAAATGAACTTTTGTCTGAGCATACATCGTTTGACGACGTTTACCGGCGATCACATAATATTTTTCCGCCACAGTATTGGTATGAAAAATAAACAGACAGGTCGTATTCGTTTATAGACGATCTTAAATTTCTACAAGACGATTTCCGCCCACACGTCTGCCGTATTATRTATTATGCGTCGYGATGAATCCCAAAATCTGCTATATAACATTTCCAATATATCATATTATTATTATAGCCTACCTAATCTATGATGATAAAAAAAAGTAACAAAAACCTATTGTAAAGCCCGCGGCCAAAACGAATGGGAGCCAAACTTTTTGTGTCGAACGCGCTGTATATACCTACATGATATATTAAACAGTATACGCAGGAAATAGGTATTAGGTAATGATAATAATAGCGATATCCTCCTGCCATTTTTATTTTCATATTTTTCTTATTTTTACAACACGCACGCATAACCCGCGGATTTGTGGTAGCTTATATAAATAATGATTATTATACACGTGAAAATAATATTGTCGTTATACCTATACTGAATCGACATGCATCTGTCAATCTGTCTCTGCGGATCGGCTTCCGCCCGCTCCACCGCACTCTATTAAATATGGCTTAGATGGTATTTCTCGTACATATATTTTATTCTTCACACATGTTTCTGTTGGAATTTTCCCTCGATCCATATCCACTATACCGTCCCCCACTATTAACCTTTTCAAATTGCCCAAGCCGCATCTCGAGACACTTTCATTCCTTTTTCTTTTCCTTCCATTTTATTTTTGCGTTGCAAGAAGTTTTCAAAAAAAGCTTCCGATGTATTGGCTGRTGATTTTTTTTTCATCATTACTATTTACCCTTATATGCCTCATGCTCCTCAGATTATTAAACCACGTTGAGTAGAGTTTCAATTGAACTGCAACAATGCGTACAGTAATCGCTCACAATGTTTAGAGTTTAGAGGACAAATTTACGCTCTACAGACTTGACCTATATGTTTTTGATGGCATATTCTAAGAATATATTTTTATTATATGTTTTTTTTAAATATTGACGTAGTAAAAATTAAACTATTCGAATAATCATATCGGGTTAGGTTTACATTTTCTACTACAAGAATTTAATTTATAAATAATCTAAAATTAGGTTTGTATTAATATTTAAACTTTACTTTACATATTATGTATCGAATTATATACTAAACTAAAAGTAACCTAAAATTTTTTTTAAATTATTAAGTAAATAATATAATATATTCATGGGACTAGTATTTTGTTTATTCTTTTGATAATAATTATTAACTATATAATTTCATATTCTATCTATACTTTCGTAATAAACACTACATACATAAAACTAAAAAATATTTTTTTAAATTTAGCATTACATTTTTTACTCTATACATCAATAGTGCTCAGTTAAGGGTTCTCTAAATTATATWAGATGGTCGCAAAATTCTTATACTCAATAACGAAAAGGTATATTGATTTATAGGATTTATACTTAATTAGAACAAGTCATATTTTTCAGTATTTTAAAAACTCACAGTTTATCGAATATCACTTATATTACTACTAGAATCAAGAAGCATGAATACATCATTCTACTAAAGCCCATATTCGGTTATCAGTTATTTTTTTTTCAATAGTTTAGTACGATTAGTATAATAATTTGTATTATAAATGGCAATCACTAACCTCGTTAACCTAGACTAACTCCGTTAACAGTTTAAAATCTTAGAATTTTCGCAAATATTATTATAAAACAAAAATTTATACACATATTTAAAAATATTAGTACCTTTTATTTAAATACCTCCATTACTGGATATATTTAACCAAAATACCTTCAACTACCTAGTGCTATGTTAATGATAAAGATATTAAACTAAAGATCATAATGTATCAGAAACTTCAACATATTTGAAAATTTAAAAATATTGATAGAAAAAAAAACGAAAAGAACCTAAAATACCAAAATCATTATACATAGGTATATCAGGTTTTCATTCACTTTGACTGTAGATGAAGGTTTCATTAGTTTTTAAGAAGTTAGAAAATTCACTCGAAGTTCAAAAAAAGTTTTTTTACCTCATAGTCTTACTTCAGTTTCTCAGCAAGCAAAAATGATATTTAAAATTATAAAAAATTTTATTGTTTCCTATATATCAGAATTTATTGATGAAAAACGTACGGATATTAAGTAAATAAAAAAATAAAAAGTATAAATTTAAATMAAACATATTTTTTATACACAAGTTTTGAAAAATAACACCATCACGTTTAATACAAGTTTTGAATAATTTTTGGAAAAATAATTGGATGGATAAAAAATTATTTAATAAAGGTTGCAAACCACTGATATAAAATCATTATGTTTTTTCATATTATTTCCTTTTACAATCRACCCTTTCCCGGTTTGAAAAGCTTGATCTATAACCTGATTTCGGACTAAGCAAGACTTCAATTCACATAYATTGTATCGAATAGTTTATTAGATAATCTAAAATATTAATTATAGAATAAATCATTWTGATGAAGAATAATTTTTAGTCATCATCGGTCATTTTTGGTTTACCGATTTGGGTAAAAACAAAATTAATGCGTTACACGTATCCGGTGTTTGTAAGCGCYAAAGTTCATCAAACCTGGCCACAAATTGACTCTGTGAGAGGATGATAGAGTATGTGTGAGAGAAAATGAGAAACGGAAACGGCAAATATTATATATATTATGTACATACATCTTTGTTGCCGTAGACCGTAGGGGACATCTGGCAATAATGGTTAAAGTTCCATCCTTGACGGTAACATTTAACGGAAATTGTAGGAACATGCAGCTTTCCGTGGACATCTTTCCTTCGTTATTAATGGCGTTATGACCAAGGTTTTCCGCTATGTATAGCAGGAGATGCCACACGCTCGGCTAAACGTCCGAGAGATATTGCACCACCTCATCCCGTTAACTGTTTTCTACAATATTGAAATCCTATCCGTATCCGGACCAACCGTGGAAATCATATTAAATAGGTAAATTTAAGTACGGAAAATTTTCATCAGAAATCTCCAAGATTAAAATATACGCATATTTCGTAGTTATTCATAATATATATTAATTATTGTCACCAATGCTTTGACGCCGACGAGTTCATAACTACGTACACTGTATAGTTCACCTACAAGACGTAAACGCGTACAAATATAAATATTTATATTTAGTATGATGACCAAAATAAAATCATTTATTTTAAATAACACGCAAAAAATTCTATTTTTGTTTGTAGTATTTTGTAAAACACAAAATTTTTAATAAAACGATAGGTACTAAATAACCTAAACTATTAGGTGTTTAATAATTATACATACTTAATACTTATATATAATATATGTTGCTTAATGATATCAATAATAATACATTTATTTTGTTTCAAATATGTATTTTAGGTAGCATGGATTCACATCGATCGTCAAATGATTTTGACTATTCATCGTCACGTGATAGCCCGAATACCACGATTTGGGATTACGCACGATAGTCAAAAAACGTGGCTGTTGCATGTCAAGGGCGCGCAGCCTGAAGACAGAGGCTATTATATGTGTCAAGTAAACACAAACCCCATGATCAGTCAAGTTGGATACTTACAGGTGGTTGGTGAGTAGGTTTTTGGTTGTGTCCCGTCTAGGAAATATATGACTGATTGCGTCATTACTATTACCAAATTACATTTTATTATACAGTTTTAGTGGGATTAGAATTAGTAACTACTATTTGAAATCTATCTTTTCAAGAAAAGTTATTTCAATAAATAAGAAAKGTCTTTTTCACACATCATGAAATAAAGTAGCGTACTGTAAATTGGTTTAGCAAGGTGATAAGCTAAGGTGATATTTTTGAAAATAAAATCTAAATCAAACCCAAAACGAGTAGTTTTTGAGTTATTAAAATATATATTATACTAAGAATAGTATTCTTTAGAAGGATTTTATAATAATATACCTAAAATTTGAGTAATATATTTTAATTTAGTACCTAAAATTGTACTTTAACACATTTTTTACAAATATAACCTTGATAGTATAAATATTAATTACAAAAATATTCTTATAATTATTATAGCCCCCATGGTTCCATATCTTGAAACCCTACGAAATTACTCATTTCTCAAAACTACTCGTTCAAATTTTGATATAGATCTAAATAATATTTCAAAAAAAAAATCTATTTGACAATTTGAGGAAAAACTGGTCGCCAAAAGCCAACTATTTTGATTGAGCTAAAAAAATTTTATCGACACTTCAAAAAAAAATTTTCAGAAAAATCGAAATATTCAGTTGCCTATAAATATCTCAAAAAAAGTCAAAAATTTTTGAAAATTAAACTTTATATAGATAACACTAACATAAACACTTGGTGAAAATTTCAAGTATTTACAGCAATTACAACCATATAAAAAAATCGATTTGGTCGAAAACTGGTTTTACGTAAAAATTCCAGTTTTTCTGTTACTTTTTTTTTTGTTTTTCTCGATTTTTTGAAAACTGTTAGAAAATATTTACTTTTGACCTCTATAATGCACCAAGGATATTCATTTTTACATCGGAGACCACCCCCAAAGTTTAAAATTGAAGCATTATTTCGACTAGTTATGCTGTAAACAGACACAAAAAAAACATCATTGTAAAATCAATACATTCATCACTTCGTTCAGAACCTAAAAACAACTCAAAACTTGATGAAATAAATGTAATTTTTTGGAACTATAAAACAAATGCGTGAATTTAAAAWATATATATACATTAATACATTATATTACCATTAATAATTAAAGGTTCAAAAATTGTTTAGTTTGGACATTTTTATTTACTACCTAGTTATATAATATTATTTGATTCTTATATTTTATTCCGTTGGTAAAATATTGAAATTTTTATATGGCAGTACCACCAAATATCATTGATGAAGAAAGTTCTCCATCTTCAGTATCCATCCGGGAAAATCAAAATCTATCCCTTACGTGCAAAGCAGAAGGATCACCGACGCCAAAAATTAGTTGGAAAAGAGAAGACGGTATTAATATAGCGACGGATCGAAAAAAAAAAGGTATTATTCATTTATTATTTCTGATTCATAATAATAAAAAAGCCCCAAACAAATGAAATCAGTGTAAGATATCGAGTCTAAAATCAAATTAAATTGCTTTTATTATATTTTTATTGTATTTGAAAAAAAGTATAATAATTTTAATGAAACTTTACATAAAAACGTGGATTGTTTTTTAATGTTAATTCCGTTAGTATAAGCAAGAAATTACGTAACTAGAGTAAGATCCCTGAGAAAATAAAAGCCAGTTCAAGTATATCTTTTGACCATTGTAYTCACTTTACTGTCACTACACTTACTTTACTCATTTACCGAACGAATAAATGTTTATTATTTAATTCATTTTTTTTTTGTTTTAATCATATATCATTATATACATACACAATCTGTAAATATTATTTTACAATAAGCGTATGTGGAGGTGACATGGCTTGAGTGTCAGGATATAGGAAGCCGCCCATTGGAGGCACTTAAGGTTAGGATGTTAAACTAGGATTTTAATGTGCTAGCAAGAGAGAGTATACAGGATTAAGAGGAGGTAGAGGTATATACAATTTTAGATGATTAGGTCACAACACCAAGTACGTTTAAGACGCTTTCTGGATTTACATCATTAATTGGTTTTATTTAAATATTATTTAAAATTGAACAAACAGATTTTTTCAAATAAATAAATAGAAATCCATAAACTGATTGTCTATAGTAATTACTAATTAAGTGCTTTCCAACTTAAACATTTGAGAATTTTTATATAATATAATACATATTTCAGTGTATAATTCTGATTAAACAAAACTCGTATTTTGTACCCACTTCACGTCATAAAAATGAGCATATATTTTATTTTTAATTAAAATAAAATATCTATGACTATCGGGTTATTTTTTCCACTTGACTATTGATAAATCGATGAGTAAGTAGTAWGGAATAWCTTATTTTTGTAGTTAGATAAAGAATAATATGTCGATGAGCTATTATTTGAATTATTCGACATGTTATAAGTGTATTTTTCCTAGTTTATTTAAAATAGTTATCTTTCGTATGCTTTAATTGAAATCAATATAAAATATAAATTAAGTGTTTGAACACACTTTTATATAAATATATTTTCACTACGAAATGTTTGTTTTTTAAAAGAAAATTTTTTTTTCTCAAAATACATACACAAAGATGAAAATATTTACCAWCGATACTGCGAAGTTCTGTTATTTTGGCTTATATAATACGGTTCTATTGTATGGAGTCTTTCGACAACTGAACCATTTATATTGTATACCACAAATAATCTTTATTTATTTTATATTTTATAGGTAGTGATATCAGACTACTTATACATAGATGCAYAATACATAGGCAATCAATAAATGTATTTGAATTTTCTCAACCAATTTYAATGTATTATTTAAGTTTTTCGCAGTGGAATATTGCCCTTAATTTTAAAATATTTGTTTCATAAAATTTGTTTAAATTGTTTAGGTCTTTATAGTAAGATAACTAACAAAATATTTTGTATATTAACATAGAACCAACTGGCTACTATAATATCAATAATGATTCTTATACTTTGAAAGTTTTAGAATATCTTAGTTTATTTTTAGAAGTAGATAAATAATATTTTTACTATACAAATTATAGTATTAATATATTTACTTTAGCTCGCTAAAAGTCATTTAAGATGCTTCCGCTTAAAAAATTTTGTAGCATAAAAAACTTTCCCAAATAAGACTCTCTTTTGAGGTAGTTATCCTTTTAAAAAGCGTCTTAAGCGAGTTTTACTGTAAAATAAATTACTTTTACGAAAAATGTTTTGAAAATACGATTGATCTATAAGGCAGTTTTAAATRCTATTCGATAGTGATTGGATTTAGAAGATTTTGGTCATGTTCGATTTGATTTTTTTAAATGAAAAAAATGTGAATACTTAATTTTAAACATGCGAGAATAAACCAATACTTTACCTTCATGCTTATCACTCGTGTGTTGAATATGGAAATTACATAATTGAAATAAGTTATCATTATATTGTTTTTATGGAAATTTAAATTTTATAATTTTTTATTAATTCTAGACTTTTATTGTATAACTAATATAATTGTTTTATTTTTGAGCTAGAGAATGGTACCTTACTTTGTGTTAATCGTTAATTTATTTCTATAAACAACAAAATCAAACTTTATGGAGAACATGTCTTTTGATTTTTTTTTAGTTTTAATTTATTACTTTATAATATATATACTATTTTTTGAACATTGAACACTAAGTATAACTTACATTAAATTTAATATTATATTTATTTTTATACAAAATTCAATTTTTTTTTAAATATCTAACAGATTATTGATTTGGCATATGGAAATAATAAAATATCTTCACTTTAAAATATAATTGTAAATTGTAAATKTTCGATTATTTATAACCATATAATACAATATTATCCATCATCCAATCTCAATAACTTAGTTATTTTTGATTTGAAGGTTCTAAACATTGATGAAAAAATATTTTTAAACGATCTATTTTTTTTAAATTCTTCTTCGCATGCTTTTTCATAACATGGACAATTTACCGGCATGATTGTAATGATTTTTTCTTCTTCTGCCTCTTCTTGTTCATTCACTAAATAATCAAATGATTTTGTATCGATATTAGACATAGATTGATCTGAATGATTTTCTGATTCAGGATACAATAAATGGTCATCTGAAATATATCTTTCCGTAATCACACCTACTCCACTCATATATTGACGAATAATATATCCACGGCCAAATTTATGATTTTCTTGCGGTTTATAACGGTCCAAATAATTAAAATTGTTTTCGTAATATTTAATAGACAAATTGTCTTGGAGTTGAGTATCGCTGATAGAGTTTAACATTATTGGTATAATTTAAAATACTTTGAATGTTTTGTAGAAGCGTTTTATTTGGTAAAATAATATTTTATTTAAACAATAAAAAAAAAACACCTAGTTGTCACAGTAGTTATGAAAAAAAAAAAAAACATTTGATTTAATTCAAACACAAAAACTAAAATTAAGTATTAATATAACTCTTACATAATCAAAATATTTTTTGATTATAAATGCTGGACGCTGGTCCATATTATTTATTTTAATAATTTATTAACTAATTATATTATGTTAATTACATTTATCTTGTATAATAATTTATCAGGGGTGACCAGCATGAAGACTCGGGAGCTATTCCATCGAAACATAAATATATATGAATTGAGTTAATAAAAAAATGCTTCTTTCTATTTCCGGAGAGAGAAATTACTACACAATATTACAATATAACAATAATTTACACATATTTGCTCCCATAATAATTATTATCAATTGTATTTTAATAAACCGCGATCAAGCAAACGTGGAAACGTGTTGTACAGGTATAGCGTGTTACAGTCATTTTGTTTAAAGGTTTTTGTTTGTTGGTCTCTAAGAAGAAGAGTATTAGGACCGTGTTCTAAATATTTAACCATTTGAATAATCAAATGGCATTAGGTACTTTAAAAATTGTTTCTGATATTTTTTTCATGTGGTCATCGATTATGCATACAAGATGCCAATTCTTGAGTGAAAAACGTGATTCATAAGTCATCGGACATCGTGTCCTTAATACATTTTAAATTTGAACAAAGAAATTCAAATTGTTATCCACCTTGTATATTATGTTTCATTATGCACAATCAGTAACATGGCCAGCGAACATGGACATTTTTAATGTATTCCACTAACGTCTAATTGATTCACCTATTTTATTGAAAATTCCAATATTTTGTTATTCTAAGTTAATTTTGTATGAAACAATATAGTCCATTACAATTACATTCATTTTACAACGGTCCATTAATTTTATTTAATAAATATTAATATAATGTAAAATAAATATAAAAATCTAATATTAATAGTTCATATTTATATTAACACAATTCATTCCCCTACATAAAAGCTGAATTTATTATTATCAACACATTTAATTTTTTTTTTAATAATATTGCATTACATCTGAAACTCTATGATGTTTATACATTATTATATGTATATGTATGTATTATTTTAATACATTATTGATCATTACATTTGAATAAGTCAAGATTTGAATTTAAATAAACAAAGCAATTGGGATTGTTTTGAATTGAGAACTGCAAAGCTTTAAGTAGATGTCTCGAGATTTACCGATTTTAAAGTTGAACGAAGTTAGATAAGAATTTCTATACTTCCACGTTTGTCAGTAAATCTTGGTACAAGAAATTGAAATATTTTTCAAATGCCTATGTATTATGTTTTACAAATAACTATAATGTTTCATTCATTGAATATTAAACTGTATGTAATTGATAATCCACGTGGTGAGCAGTCCACCATAATAATATTATTTAATACATATGTTTATATTCAGGTAGGTTTAAAATACAATGAAATAAATTAAAATAACAATCATCATGCGATGGTTATTCATTAGTTCAAAGCCAATTTACCGATAGTCCTAATGTTATATCGACAAAGATTCTATGATTTTTTTATTTTCATCCGTTTATTTGTCATACGTATGTTCACAGCGGTGGAGAAGTTATTCGGCGACACGTTAAACTTGACAAGAGTCAACAGAGCGGATATGGGTGCATATCTCTGTATCGCTAGCAACGGTGTGCCTCCGTCAGTTAGCAAGYGCATTATACTCGACGTCGAATGTAAGTATATAGAATAATATCGCTTAACAATATAACAGTTTTAATTCAAACGCACAGTAAACGGTCACAACACCGCCTAAATTGTTATGTACATATAATATAATATATTATTTATTATTATCATGTTTATTATCATGTTACGCGTATGTATAATATTGCTGTACAATATAATCTAAGAAACTCTGTATGGACAATATCACGCTCTATTGTTATGGTAATGCGTGTCGTCTACTGTACTTAGGTACTGTAATAGACATACTGTGCAGTCGATATCATATTTTTGATCTCTTGTTTTTATCAATAACCTATACAATATTTATCTTTTACGACACTGTATACGCAGTTGATGAACTCAGAAGTGTATAAGGAGGTTTTTTTTACATATTTTAGTTAATTAATTTTCAATATTGTATGCATAAATCGTATTATATTTCATCATATTACAATTCAATGAAGCCTAGTGTAGCTCGGTGGTTGGCCCGTGTTACTAACATAGTCAAGCATTGGCTTGCATCGCTAKTCTCCGGATGGGTGACCACCCGGGTTTTTAGTGATGATTCCTCACCCCAAATAGACGTGTTCCGAATCAACTGTATCCCCTACACTAAAAACATGATTAATTAGTAATAACCATGCAGGCCTTAAATTWAAAAAAAAATACAATCCRATACCTAAGAACATAAGGTGGAACGTTATTCTTTGGAATCTGGATTATGTAAATCTGCAGGATTATTTTCTTGTACTCAAGCCAACCATGGTTAGGTAAGAACGTGGGTTGGTGCCACCTACATCGTATTGTGCTAGCATACTCATTCTTGAGCCGGTTCAAGTTTGTCGTTCTCTGGTCCCGAATTTATTTTGTAAATAATTTACTGCCTAGCTTTAACAATATTTTATTCTTACTATTGAATACCAAAAATAAAAAWTTAAACTTGATTTAAATGTTTTTGAAAAATTCAAAATGGTCAGTTTTTAAATCTGATTTTTTTAATTTTTGATTGTAATGCATTTATTTGAGCCATATATAGCTTATTTTCACATTTTTTTTGGAAATCTCGTTATTTTTGTTAAGTTATATATTGGTGATTTCATGTAAAAATATTTTAAATTCAAAAATTATAAACTTTTTTTGAATATTTTAAGAATAATATTGAATAAGAAAATAAGTACCTATTTATTTAGTTATAAATATTTTTAAATTAATGAAWCTTCCTTTAAAAAATTAAAATATTTCAAAAATCATGAAAAATAAACCACCTACATGATTAAATTTTTTTTACAATATTTAAATAAAAATGAAAATATTATGGAACACATATAACGCAAAAGTCAATACATAACATATTATTATAATAAAAACAAATTTGAAAATATTTATTAGAATCATTATTATGTTATTTGTCAATACTTCCTATATGCTAGTTGTCCCAGACGCAATTACCCAGGCCAAAAAAATGTTTATTTAATAAATATATTTTCTTTCAATACTTAATAATAATAAAATAATATCATTGAGTAAAAATTTTATGATATTATTATGTACCTAAAAAATGATKGAAAACAATTTATTTTTTTATGAACTTAAAAAATGTTGTGTAAGCTATCCTTTAGCCATTTAAAAGAGTAAAAATAAAAGCTTTTAACACCCTATTTTAATTATTTTATTAAATAATACAAGATTGAGATTAAGGCAAATAATCAGGCATATCAAGTATAGAGCTCAAAAAAAAAAATAAGAACTTCAAAAGCACCTCCAGCCAAATTTCCGGAGTCAAACCCTCATTCCAGACCGAAATCTTACGAGGAAGGCACCCAGAATCATGATTTTTCCACAGATCACTTGTCTGTCATATTATCTCATTTTGTCACTAACCTCAATTCTCTAATCAGTCCACTAATTACTCTACTCTCCTCTGTTCTCTAATCCTCAAAACTTTATTATCTCCAAAGCTATTTTCGCAAAATTATCTCCATTGTTTTTAATAGTTTTATCTTAGGTCATATTATATTGTATATCACTATTTTTATAAATATACCAATATTGTGTCTTTATATCTGCCTAATAATAATTAGGTAGATATTATTTCTTATCACTCGTATATATATATATATATATATATAACAATAATATTATATCTAATTGTTGAGCTGTAATAGTTAAACTGAAAGCTAATAAAACAAATAATTAACATTGATAGTTTGTGCAAACATTATAATAGTAAAAAGTACCTTAAGAAACCATATTATTATTATGAATGCTATTTTTTCTTATTTAATAACAATTCACTATTGTTTTTATTTAATTTAAATCAAATATAATAAAAAATAAAAATCATTTCATATTGTAGCCTGTTAAAAATTATACAATTGTAATTATTATTGTCTTTGATGTTTTAAAATTAAAAAAAAAAATGTTTTGAATACCTAACTATGGAAAAATTAATTTATCTTTAGTAGAATTCTTAATCTATGCAAAATGTATACAATGCCAATGAATTATAATTCCATAATATATTTTGRGAAATAATGTACTTTACCGCCGCATAGTATAGAACAGCCTAAATATAAATCTTGGTGTGTTGAAAACATTCTCCAACGAGTGTAAATAAAAATTGTTTATATATTTTATCAAATATAAACACGTGGCTGGTAGGAAATGAGTTAAATAAATAGATATTTTTTTGCTCGTCGAGATTTCACGACGAGAAAAAATGAAATCACCTAACATCCGGTGGTCTTATTCCCTATCAGTGAAATCTCTGACTCGGATATATAGGTAGCGATCGTCGCCAGACACACAACGACGGTTTCTRAATGACGTTTTACTTAACGAACAACTGGATTTAAACYCCATCGAAACAACAGATATAAAATCCACTGTCTGAGAGTAGGAGGAAGGGGGCAAGAGAGTATATCAAATACCTATTCCCGTGTGCATTGGTTTATTGGCTTTGCCGCAATCAGCCTTCCGTCTTTACAGTTCTACGCACGAAACCACGAAATCAACTCGAGTATAATACGTTATTGGACAAATACACTTAACGATACTGAATTTATTGGTTTTACTCTAATAATTTTTCCTGTTTGAATCTGATATTCAACATATACGTTCAATTTTTATTTTTATTTTTTTTGTTATGACATTTATTTGTTTGGACACGTTGGTCATCCGGGTGATGATTCAACAGATTTATATAAAAAAAATTACTTACACTTCACAAWGTGTTTGATAAAATTTCAAAATCTCTTCGTGATGATTATTAAAGACTTCAACGTATACAATAACTGTGGATAAAACTATTCTGCAACTGACGTCGAAGACGAATCTGTTTAATTGCTTTCGATTTTAATCTTTCTCTTCCGATACCTCACTTCATCACTCTAACTACGAATCTCCGAAATATGTTGAATATGATTAATTATTCATCTATAAAAGGATTATGAACGTATTTTATCCAAGAACACGATGCTCGTCCAACGCCGTTGAATATGTCACAGGATTATGAGTGAGGACACGCACATGGAAGTTGATGAGTAGGGAAGTGAGGTGGAAGTGTTTTTTGGGCGAAGCTAATTGCTGGTGGTTAGGCTAGAAAGGGGTTGAGTAGAAACTATAAAGTTCAATTACATTATCTCAGACTAACCCTCCATAGAAAGTTCATCCTATACTGCACTCAGAATGTCCGATTACATTTTCTGAGCCACACTTTCTTTATGGTTTTCACCCGGGTGTGGTCTTTCAGAGAGCACGTAACATATGTTTCACGAATAGTTTACTCCCGCTTGCTCTTCTCCTGACAAACACTACACCCATAAAATAAAACTATAGAGTCGTTTTACACGCAATATGTATACTCACAACAATTATGTAATGGATAAACTTACAAGTTTGAACGTCTGTTTTCTCTGAGAGAAATTAACACAAGTGCCGTTTTAAGTTTGTGTAATAATCGCAAATAATCACAGTGAATTCCAAATCGTCACACATAATAGTTTCTTTTTCGACCTGTAGATTTAATTAAAGCTTCATAATTAGCCGTTACAATCAGTTCTTAGACATTTATTTTAATTCTTTATAGATGTTGACTTTTCAATTCTTTTTAATTTATCGTTTTACCTTGTTAGAGTTACGAAACYAATCCGCTGATATTTTTCCTTTAAACATGGCTTCTATTATTATATAATATGAAACTCGCTCAGGTATCTCAAAGCTGGTCTCGCTATTTTTCAAATTCATACCGAAGGTTCATTTTTTTAAACAATTTCTATCTTTATTTTATTTCCTTTCTATTTAAATTATATTCCCTATATACATCTAGCTCCTTATCYCAAAATTGTCTCATRTCTTCTTTTCAGTTCCATTTATGACTATTGACCTGTGTTTTGCAAACATAATATTTTGATATAATTCAAATATTATATGGTGAAAAAAGATAGTTTCAAATAAATAATGCTTTAATAAATTTAACTTATATAAATACAAAATATTCACATACAACAATAATTAAAAATTAAAATATATTGATTGCTTCAGGAAATGTTATGTTCAAATAATTATGTGTTATTGCTTTTTGGTGATTAGTATGTATGTTTATATTTTGGTTATGATTTAAATAATTTATAAATTTTAAATTAYGTAATAAAATTAACCCTTTTRAAWCTATTTAGTATACACATAATTGATTACATAGGTACCTAAAAGTAGGAAGTAGGTATAGTCAAACAATTTTAAAATATCATAATTCCTTTAAGATTTGAGTGGTAATCAAAATACCATGCAAAGTAAAAACTGTAGTATAACTCATGGTACAAAATAAAAAAAATGAATGTTAAGCTAATTGTTTGAATATAATATATGATCCGGGTGCTAAAATCTGAAATCCCGGCCCACAAGTGTATAAAATTTCAATTTTTAAATATTTGAAAAAAGTAACTGTGAAATCATAAATAAATTTTATAAAATAAATGTTTTTTAATAAATTAATATTGGATTCCAACAC